TTTTTCTTCAATAACAATAGAACTATGGAAGAATAACCTTGTCTGAAAACTGAGTAAAATCCTACAGCTTTTCATGTTTCCTGACAGATAGGTAACTTTATCACATATTAAATTAAAAGAAAAAAATCTTAACTAAGGGGACAGTCACACCCATTAATTTTCATACTGACTCCAATGAGCCCTCCTTTTAGAAAAGTGCACATTGCTTCTTTCAGTTGCCAGTCCTTCTGTCCTTTTCTGTCCCTCTGACATGCTTTGCCTACTCACCCCACCAGGGCATAATTGTTACCAACAATGTCTATTCTCTGTCTCCCATGTCTTGTACCTATTCCTCTACTAACCTCATAGTGACAATGTGTCTAACACAATTGAAACCCAGAATATGCTCACTTTCTTACCTAAAGAACAACTTAGAATCCCAGGGACTTTTATCCAAAGACAGTTGAGTCTTAAACAAACATTCTTCTAGAACATCTGGATATATCAAATCTCTGCTGCTAAAGAAAGAAATTGTATTTTAGGTTGTCTTATAAGACAATAAGCATGGAAGGAGACAAAACAGCATGATTAAAGTTAAGAGTTAGGTTGTTCATGCTTTTTATTTTTTTCTTTTTCTTATTAGAAAGAAAATCATTTTACATGTCAATCCCAGGTCCCTAACCCTCCCCTTATCCCCTGCCCCCCCAACTAACACCCTACCTATCCCATACCCTTTCTGTTCACCAGAGAGGGTGAGGCCTTCCATAAGGGGTCTTCAGAGTCTGTCTTATTCTTTGGTATAGGGCCTAGGCCAACCCCCTTGTGTCTAGACTCAGGGAGTGTACCTTCATGTGGAATGGGCTCCCAAAGTCCATTCCTATGCTAAGGATAAGTACTGATCCACTACAAGAGGCCCTATGGATTTCCAAGGTCTCCTCACTGACACCCACATTCAGGGGGTCTGGATCAGTCCCATGCTGGTTTCCCAGATGTCAGTCTGGGGACCAAGAGCTCTCCTTGTTCAAGACAGCTGTTTCTATGGGTTTTAGAGCCTGGTGTGGACCCCTTTGCTCATCAGTCCTCCTTCTCTGCAACTGGATTCCAGTTCAGTTCAAGGTTTAGCTGTGGGTGTCTGCTTCTTCTTCCACCAGCTGCTGGATGAAGGCTATACTATCGCTTATGAATTAGTCATCAATCTCATTATCAGGAGAGGGCATTTAAGGTAGCCTTTCCTCTGTTGCTTAGATTGTTAGTTGCTGTCATCTTTGTAGCTCTCCAGACATTTCCCTAGTGCCTGATTTCTCTTTAAACCTACAATTTCTCCCTCTGTTGTTCATGTTTTTATTAGCCTGTTCTCAAAAATACTTCAGGAAAGACATTTTAAATTTTTCCTACTTTTAGAAATTTTAGATACTATAAAACCATCCTTAGAATATTTTTATTTGAAATCTCTGTAACTTTAGAATGTAAGGTGCCACATAGTGGAATATCTCATTAACAACTCACTTTGTGGGCTGCTAGAGCTATGGCTTGTCTTTCGAGTGATATTACCAGAACTTTAAGTGACTAGCACTGTTGGCATCAAAATCTTTGTTCATATTAAAAGACACAGTCGATGCCTAAAGTCCATTGAGTAACTGTCGTTCCTCATTTAAAAAGGGGAAGTAAAAACTGAGTTCCTTAACCTTATAATTCCACTTGTTATGAGAATTTTGAATGATGAAATAGATCAAGAGCTTTATATGAGGAGCAAAAGAGACAATGAAGTCTTAAGAATTGCTTCCCTTCCAGGGAGAACAAGGCAGTGTAATATAAACTGCAAGTGGACTAAACAAAGGCCCTCCCCTTCTCGATTTTTATTTTACTTTTTGTTTTTAAGCGCGTGTGTGCATGTGCGTGTGCGTGTGCGTGTGCGTGTGCGTGTGCGTGTGTGTGCCCAGAGAGGGCATCTGATCCCAGGGAGGAAGAGTTATAAGCAATTGTGTGCTGTAGGCATCTGGTCTGTGAAAAATGTAATAGTGGCCACACCCCTTTCTGTGTGGCTTCAGGCAGATCGAAGCAGGAGGGAAGCTTGAGATGTGCCTATCCTTTCCTCAGTCTTTCTGATGGGTCAGCCAATCTGGTAGGAAGGTCAGAGAAGTACTCTTGTGGTTCTTTGTATTTTTCTGTATGGTTGTTCCTTAATAAACACCCATTTATTATTTATCTGAATTTGGATCCTCTGCAAGAGCAAGGGCAGATACCTGCTGAGCCATCTTTCTATCCCCCCAAACAAAATTTTTTTGAAACTGCTTGGCATGAGTTTAAGACATTGAAACTTAAAAGAGGAGGGGATACTCTCTAGGACTTTAGAGTAGGAGCATGGGTTAAGGTTCAGATGTTGTCAAGTATCAATGACTTGGTTGTGTTTATTACTAGCTGTAGATTGAGCAATATGAATCTCCCCAAAAGAAGTTCAGAGAAGCATTTAGTGGATGAAGCCATTACAGGTGCTGTTGGTAGTAGAATGTGTTAATTAGTCAAAGTGGCAAAGAACTGCAAACATTCAGGGAGAGTTCTCAGGTTGAAAGTTCTTTCACTTATATCCTATGTGTGAATTCAGATTTACCCCCAAGAAGTCTCACATACAATGGGTGCTCTTTGAATGTGGCCAGAACCTATGAAAGAGACAGGATATAAACCTCAGAATGGCATTATATTCTTCAGAAATAGAAATTATGGAAGATGAAATTGTTACCTGTATTCAATTGCCCTTGACTTTCTAAAGACAGAGATTATGGAACTCTTTGGGATGAATCCAACCTAGTCATTTGATCTGTTTAAAAACAGATTTCCCATGGTTGGCAGCATGGCCATTCAAAATAGCAAAAGTATTAATGGAATCTTTATTGTCTCAGAAGATGGAAATGATATTGTTTCAAGGAATACAGTTAAGAATGCCACCTATACTAACAGCTAGAAAGGAAATGGGGACCACAGTAATATACCTTTGTAACTCAGTGAGTTCACTCAACCACCAGAATGAGATTAGAAATTTATCACAAAAGAGTGATGAACAATGCACCATTATTGGAAGAAGAATATATAGACACAGGCTAGAATTACTGTAGAGCATTGGTTGTCCACCTTCTTAGAGCTACAACTTTTTAATACAGTCCCTTGTGTTGTGGTGATTCTCAGCATAAAATAAATTTTGATGCTACTTCTTAACTGTAGCTTTGCTAGTGTTTTGAATTGTCATACAAATTTCTATGATTTCTGATGGTCTTACGTGACACTTTTGAAAAGATTCTTTAACCCCCAAAGAGTTCACAGCCTCGAGGTTGAGAATGATTGATCTAGAGAGTCGTAATTACTTTCTCCAATTGTTAAGGTCTAGATAACTCTAAAGTTGTTTCTACAAAAGGTTTATTTTAAATTTTATTTTTGAGTATGTGTTTCTGTGTTTGTGAACATTTGTGCAGGTAACTGTGGGGATAAGAAAATGGCATTGGATCTTCTGAAGTTGGAGTTACAAGGGGTTGTGAATTGCCTGATATGGACAATAGCAACTGAACTGAGGTCTTCTTTGAGAGCAACAAGAGGTTGTAATTGCTAAGGCATCTCCTCAGCCCCTCTAAAATCTTTACTCACAGATCCTAAGACATGTTCTGCTAGATTCTAGGTGTACTTGAGTACATAGTTTGGGAAAAGAAGGATAAATCTTCCTGGTGCATTCTTTAATTTAAAAAGAAAATGAAATGTTACTATGGGTGGGATCAATACATAATTTTCCCACTGGCAGAATCCAAGAATGGACCAGCATATGAAATGAGGGAGAGTCTAAGAATCTGTGTGAAAGCTATGTTGTACAAGATGAAACAGAATCCTTGTTGATCTTAAAGCTCACTGAAGAGAAAGAAGTGAAATAGACTTTCCATTTGTGAGACAGTGGAAGCTCTCCTGCACAGTTTAGGAAGAAGACGATGATCAAGGCAGGAGTAGATATGCTACATGGACAGCTGACATCTAGGCAAGTGGACAAGACAACCTGAACAGGAATCTGCCAATGGGAAAGCTCAGAGAGCAAAGAGTATACAGCATGAAGTTAAAGGAAAGAGAAAGATAGAAGAGGAAAACACCAGAATAGAAAATATTGACTTCAGCCTTCTTTTTCTTATGTAGTGGCATGCTAGAGAAGGCACCTAAGTTGTCTAAATCCTAAACTACTTTACTTTCTGTCTCAGCAGTCTGCTCTATGTCCTGTATGGCTACCTATCCTTCTCCAAGCCCCACAGACTGACCTGCTCTAGAGTCACACATATCCTTTGTATTGCTCATGCTGCCCTCCCTCCTCTCATTAGCCATCTTGAGTTCCTGGAAGGGTTCTGTTCCTGCTCAGGGACATGGGAACTCAAAATCTGGATTCTGTCATAGAACAAAATGTTTTTTTTTTTTAACTTGAGATGATTTCCCGCTATAAGTGTGAAGAATTCATCACCTGTGATCATTCCCATGATGTTCCAGAAATACATGACTCCTATTGCCAGTATTTCTGTATGCCATCTGTGCCAAAGACAAGTCTTCTGAGACTCCTTGCCCCTCCCCTTGATCAATTGTCATGACTTTTCTACCCTACCCTGTTGCATATAAAAGACCAACCAGTACATAGCCCGACAAAACTTATTATTCCTGGTTGTCAGGTAAGTGTTTCCAAAAAGAAGAGTCCTCAGTAGAAGCTATGCTACTTAGATCTGGGGAAAGAGACAAAGGGGTGTTGTAAAAATTTCTATAGGCACTGGAAGCCCAGTAGAGGCCCAAACTGCCTTTCTAGTCCTAGGGCTATAAATTCCTAAAATCTCAAGAAAAGGAGTTGAGTATAAGGGCATGCCAGACAGCTTTCTTGAACTATGAAATCAAGAGACAAGAGGGCTTGTGGAGATCAAGTTTGCTGTGTTCACCGCTCCTAGAGTTACCTTCTCTTTCTTGTTCAATAGAATTGTTGATTTTGAATTCAAATCTAAGACTGCCTGCTGCTCAGCATGGCTCAGAACATTGAGTACCATGTCCTGTTCACATGCCTGATGCTCCTCTCATGCAGCCAAGGTAAGCTTGTTACACCATAATCCCCACAGACCTGAATGTTTGGCTCCATTCTTACACATGGCCATGTTCTTGGGGAAAGGGCATAGTAAACATTGGGGGTTATTGCTTCATTGATCACAGTCAAATGCATCCTCATCTATCAGAGAAGTTTAGTTTGAATATTAAATTATCCCTTGTTCATACAACTACTGTTTTCTTAGTTGGTATAGTTAAATCTAAATGTCTTCATTAGTTCATGGAGGCTTTATGCAGAGAATATAAAGGAGAATCTTATGTAAGAAAATTCATAAGATACAGAAGAAAGGTAAGAGCTTCACAAACAAGGGTGAAACTGTGAAGAAATAGCCTCAGAAATTAATAGTGAGTTCTTGTCTCAAGGAAATTAATCCTGGGAGAGAAAAGTGACAATGGAGGGTTATAAGGTAGGCAGTCACTCCACTGCCTGTCTTACATCCTTGCATACCTACAGAGGAGTTTCAACATGGGTGTCTCATCTTCCAGGCTTTATCCCATCCTGAGCATCTCCTTTACTTCCTTTTCTCTTCCTAGGCCTGAAGGCTGAAGAAGACTTGCCTACGGATGCGGAAGACCATCCTTCTGCCAGGATCACATGCCCAGAAGGTGCTAATGCCTATGGTTCCTACTGCTATTACTTCATTGAAGATCGTATGACCTGGGGGGAGGCAGATGTAAGTGAAAATAGAAATGTGCGGGGAGGGAGGTATCTGAAGGTAGAGACAGTTAACATTTCCAACTGGCTTCCTAAGATAGGGCTGGTCACCTATTTTCCCCATCACCAACCTCAGTTTTGTCCTTGATGGTGGCTGTTGTTCTGAATCTTTCAAGCAGAGACCTTGATGCTCAGTCACAGTATCATCAGGAACATTTCTTCACTGTCCTTTTTCTCAAACATTCCTTAGTAGGACTGGTATATTGTTAACAAAACACCCTTCTATATTGAGTAATCTATTTTCTCTTTGAATGCCTATAGCTCTTTTGTCAGAATATGAATTCAGGCCACCTGGTGTCACTGCTCAGCCAGGCTGAAGACAATTTTGTGGCCTCTCTGGTTAAGGAGAGTGGTACTACAGTCTCCAATGTCTGGATTGGACTCCATGACCCCAAAAATGTGAGTATGTGGCCTCTTTATCTTCTAATAATCAGGTGAAGGCGAAATGAAAGAATCAAGTCTAGCCTGTGAAAAGCCAATTTTAAAACATTTACAAAAAAAAGCAATGTGTCTGTGGATGTTAGGATATATGAGCCTGTTGAGGCTCACTTCAGGTAGTTGTAGATATAGCTGAGGCTCAAGTTCCTCCTGAGAAACTTTTGTTATGTACTCATTATTATTTATTGTGTACCTTAATGATTTGTGTGTTAGAAGAGAAGCCTTCTCAGATAACAGAGAAGAAAATACTTTACTGCCTGTTTTGGTGAATCTGTTGCTTTACCAACGCACCTAGTACTATCTAGTGATAAGTTGAAAGGGGCAAGGTTTGGTCCTCAAGAAAGAGTCTCTTGGAGCAGCTTTCTATAATACATGTTTATAGGTCTTTGTAAAATTCAGAGTACTCTGAAGGACAGTAGAAGGAGTTGCATATTTCTGGAAGGTACAAAAGCAAAGAAATGCTATGATTCTCAATGGAACTTTGATATTTATTTTGGTTCTGTTTTTTTTTTTTTTTGTACATTTGTGAATATGTACACGGTACACTTGTTTCCCCTACTTTCTAAGTGACATTGGCTCGGTTATACTCATTCACTGTAGAACCGTCGCTGGCATTGGAGCAGTGGATCTTTGTTTCTGCACAAAGCATGGGCTACTGGAGCTCCAAGCACTACTAATCGTGGGTTTTGTGTGTCACTGACTTCAAACACTGGTAAGAAGCAAAAAGTTTGCTGTTTGTGTCTTCTGCTCAGCTCTGGGGACAGACCTGGGGATGCAGATAGAGGAAGGGTTACTTATGGAAAAAATTGAAGTGTTCTCCTTATTTCCTCTCTTGAGTCTTAGAACTAGGTGAGACCACACTCTCTCAATTTGACTCTTTAACTTTACTTGTAGCATACAAGAAATGGAAGGATGAAAACTGTGACGCACAGTATTCCTTTGTCTGCAAGTTCAAAGCCTAAAACAACCTGAACATCAAATGTCCATAACTTTGTTACTATGGATCAGAAAATGAAACAAAACCATCTATATGTCCCAAATTAGATACTCTTTTCTGTTGAACTTACAACAGATTTGCAGCATTTTTATATACCCCATTTTTAGACCCCTGACCTAATGCAAATAAATTCGTATCCCTCACTTGTCCTGTCTTCTGTGCTCACTATGTTCATTGTCAATGGTTGGGTACCTGAAATAGAAGGGATTTTAGAACTGTTAACGTTGCTCTGACATAGCCATTGTTAAAATTACAGACTTCATCAAACTTTTGTGCCATTGTTTATGATAAATTTAAAGTGCATGCATTCTTTGCATTTGCTTAGACTGATGTTACAAGCTTGAATTCTAAGGAAGCCACTTTTCTGTATTCAAGAAAACAATCTGAAGCCATAATTGATTTGAGATTTTAAGGAAAATTCTTTGCTTTAAATTCTTAATAAATTAGTGACCAATAGACTAGAAGTTTAAAAGCCAGCACAGTCTGTTAAATGACATTCTTTGAATGCACTAACTAATAAACACATGATAATTTAAATAAAGAAAATGTATAAGAATAGTTAACTGCTCCTTTAAGAAACCTATCTCCAAATTACTGTCAAGTGTTAGAATTTTAACAAATTTATCAGTATAATTCAGCCCTAGCACTTATTATACCAATGAGACTATTAAATAAAATTTGATGAAACAATCAAATCTCTTCAGACACATATCAGTATGAATTAAAACTATGACAACACAATATGAAAAACAAAGATGCAATTTGTGTATTTACATATCTATAGGAAATATGCCTTATAGTGAAATATACAAATAGTTTCAAAGGAAAACATGTAAAAGATAAGATAAAAATAACCACAAAAGCACTGAAATATGCTGATATGAAATTACCTAAGATACAATAACTAGGACTCTAACACATGAGAGACAAAGTAAGAAAGAAAGATTGTACAATAGAGCACTGGGTATCATACATAATATAACGCAAAAGGTAGTATAATATACTTTTTGTCCTGTGGTGGTATTGGCACAAAAATAGACAGATAAACCAATGGAATCAAATTGAAAACCCTGATATTAACCCACACACCTATGAACACCTTATTTTTGACAAAGATGCCAAATCTATATAATGGAAGAAAGATAGCATCTTCAACAAATGGTGCTGGCACAACTGGATTCAGATATGCAGAAAACTGCAAATAGATCCATATCTCTCACCATGCACAAAACTTAAATCCAAATGGATCAAAGATCTCAACATAAATCCAGCCACACTGAATCTTCTAGAAGAGAAAGGGG